ATGGTGAACTCTACACCAAATCAACGATGGACTCAAATAGATCATATTGCCATCAGTCATCGTTGGAGAGGGTCGATAGAAGACTGTTTCGCGTTCTCGAGTACATGATAAATACGAGAACGCATTTACTTGCACTTCACTGGGGGTAGAATAGCCACAGTAAGAAGACCCACTAGAATTGAATTGAGTGACGAGAAAGCCGAAAGTAGATTCCAGGAGTAATTGAGGTCACACTTAGGTAGTTCTGAAAACGAAGCTGACCTAGATGTCGCTTGTAAAGATATACGAACAGCTGTGGAAACAGCTGTTAGTTATTTAAACCAAATGGTTACAAAAAGCCAATGGATTTCTTCCAAGTCTATTGCATTGACAGATTCTTGTAAACTCATCCCACCAGCCTCTGAACGCGATAAAGAGAGAAAGCAAATCAGATCTATGTTAAGCAAAAGTCTAAGGAAGTTGGACTTAATCGCATCTGATTGGTCACAATCACTAACTGTCTTAATATATAAGAAGGAATCAAAATCGTCCTGTGACAACCATAGAGGGATTAGTTTGACTAATATGGCATCTAAAATACTAGACTCAACAATTATCGGACGCCTAATCAAGACTCGTGAACTGCAAACACAAGAAAATCAGGCTGGCTTCAGACATCGTCGTGGCTGCAGCGACCACATATTCATCACTCTTCAGGTTCTAAAAAACAGGCATGCTTACCGGCGCCCAACAATGGTGGTCTTTCTTGACTTAGAAGCATCGTTTGACTCCGTAGACCGCGAGATTCTGTGGCAGTGTCTGTCATTGAAAGGCGTACCTCAGAAGTACATAAACCTTGTGAAGGCTTTTCTGGACATAACTGTTGGGGTGATCAAGAAAATTGCTTGCAAAAGACAAGCAAGCATCAGGAAACACCAAGAAGCGTTTCATCAAATCAGCGTTCACTTGGAGTTTTTGCCAAAAATATCAAAGAAGCGAATCGTCTCATGCAGAGGCTCTGATTGGTTGGCTGCTAAACTGCTACTATTTTTAGTAGCATTTCCAGAATCTTCTAGCGACCCAAGGACATTTAAAATATTATGAAAACCCTGTATTTTCTGTATTAAAATGAACCTTGGAGTAAACTACTTCTCGCATACTTTGAGTCTTCTATCTCGTGTTCAGGTCGCTGCGTAGTTCTAGCTTGGGGGTTACAGAATAGCTTAGGAGACAAATATAGCGTTCAATCTGCAAGACTTATCAATAACAAAGTTTTTCATAGACTGTAGGCTTCTTTTCCGATGAATGTAAGGAGATGTGCCACAATTTTATCACCATTAACATCTTTCTCGGTTATCTTCCAGATTTCAAACCTTTTCAAATAAATCTCAAAAGCTTCCGAAGTTGAACGAATGACCAACTGTTCTATTACAGGCTCCATCGCGATGCCAATATGATATCTAGGAGCATTTGAATTATAGTACAAACTACGAATCCCAAAAATAACTCAACTTAAGCAAGAAGTACTAGATAAGCATGGACAAATTTATTGTATTGGAAATTGGAAATCAAGTATTCAATAAGTACAAATGAATTGTTAATTCATGCAAACACCACAAGAATATCAATACTGTACCTCCCGCACTAATACATCGATTTCGGCATTTTTAATAAATTCAGTGTCTCTGACTAGTTGAAATAATTGTTGGATTCGTTAGTAAATATTAATGATCCCACCAAAAAGTTAATCACTTAACACTTATGACCAAAATACTGACATAATTAGAATGAACTTCATGCAAATTTTAGAAAATAATTATAATGGAAGTTGACAGAAACTACATTTCACGGCGTTATTAGTTCTCTATTATGTTGTAATGAAGACAGGTCAACAGGTTAGCAGGCCACATAATAGATTTCGATCCTCTCAATCAATTCTTCCATTTAGACACTAGTATCTATAATTGAAAACCACTGAATGAGGTGAGTGATTTCAAATATACAGAACACATTCAGTAGGGTTTATCGTCTATGCACCAGTGTTTGTCGATTCATGATGTATATCCAGATACTTGATGTGTCCTAATATCCAGTCGTTAGCTAACATTGATGTTTCATTACACTTGATGATTAGAATTATCATTAAAATCAATCATGAAACAAAGTCCTTGTTAAGAAGACTTTCAAAATTATGAATGCGTTTAGTCATTGTGTTGCAAATCAAGTTTACATAAATGAACTCGGGTTTCTCTGAACGTCAATCGAGAGAAATAAAGTGATTTTAATTTTAAAAATATTTGATAGAAGTAACACGATCCGTTAGGGTGAGAATGAAACAAAAGAAGACAATAAGTAAGAGTCTGTTATTCACCGTGATCTGTCTCTGTTGTCATATGTGTATTGTAATCGGAAAGCTTTGATGTACCGTTAAGTCACAGATCTTAGTATGTTTGTTTCTTGACTAGAAGTCATGAATATCAGCAACCGGAAATGAGAAAGTCTCATCAATACCTTTACACCTGTTGAATAAATCGAAGCATGTCTAGATTCAGTGGCTCAGTGGATAATGAGTTTGAGTTTGAAGTGAAAGGTTCAGGATTTTAGTGCTAGTCTATATGAATGGTAGATCCAGGTGACGAGTCCCAAATAATATGAAATATATGTTCTGAATTCAGCTGCTAGCCACATACCAAATGCAGTAAGAAAATCATTCTAAACAAAATTTGATATTGATTCTTTTCTCCTTTCGACACCTACATGTCTTGTAGTATATAATCATAATTTTCATGTTCTAAGAAGCTTGAAAAGTTATGAGGACTCTATGATGATGACGGGACGCAAAATGTTTGAGCGTTACTTTTCCAGAGAAACAAATGATAAGGTTCGAACAGGTAGGTAAATGAATTTTTTTCCGCTAAAGTTTATGCTGATAATGGATTATTTTTAGAAAAAAGAGCAATTGTAAGTTCAATTCGTATCTTTCATTCTGCAATACCAAACCCATATGTTTTGGAAACTAAAAGAATAAGGAATTCTCATTTGTGTTTTGTTGAACTGTACCTGTTTTGTGAAGTTGACTATATTTTGATTACTTCAAATACTAGTTGTTACTTTGAATTACACAATCATTTCCATTGATGTTATTGTAGTAAAAATTTGACCCTTGTGAATGGCCTAGTTGGAATTATTTCTGTGAGAATTTCTCAGAAAAACAATAATCCTTTAAATGCATTTTAGAGCGTGTTTATTTAAATTTTATTCCAACCAATGAGACAGTCAAATTCCTAATGACCAATTAGGTTATACAAATAGTTGCTATATAAATATACTCATCCATCAGTATGGTTTATTTAATTATACTGAACAGAACTGTGGAAATGAAGATTCTTGCAGTAAGTTAGGTTTATTATTATTTATACGACTGAAACCTTCACGTAATACAATTCATCATATTTTTCTGATATATTTCTGTCCAATTTTTCAACAATGCAAATGAAGTCAGTGATATCATGTTAATCTAATTGTATACGGTAACAATTAGTATCAATACAAATTGAATTGGAATTACGTGAAGTCATGAAACGTGAGGAATTGATACTCCACCCAATATAATGTTATAAATACGTAATTTTTATCATTCGTAGAATCAAATTATTTGATCGCTGTCGTTTCCTTACTAAATCCGTTTAAATTCCTTCTTAGGTTTTCGGTATTATGTTAACTTATTTCTGTGCAGTAACGTTCGGAGCTGAAAGTCTTCACCGATGTAACAAAGATTTTGAGGCAACGATGGAATTTTGTTTCAAACAGAACAAACGTAATTCACGTGAGTGTTGGTAACAGATTATAATGAACTGCAATGTCAATACTTATCATCAATTCACAATGTCCAATGATGAACTTATTGTTTTGTCAACGCATTTTTATGCAAGATTTGTTAATTTGAAAGTGTTAGCTAAACAATATTGTGCATGACAATGAGCATGTGTTTGATTCACTTTCAAGTGACTAGTTTCTAATTGTAATAATTTCGGTAAATTAAGTTGGAGTTGTCATGTAGCTAGGAGTAAAACACTCTATCTCATCACCCTACAGTGAACATAGAGAGTTTCAAAACTGTTATACAACCTAGAGTTTACTACTTGATGCATTATTTATTCTGACTATATTTTGTATGAACAACAATCCATAATAGTGTGTAAATGTACTGACGATCATAACTTTGAGCGTATTAACACATGTGGTCAATGTGAATCTTAAAATTCTCTGCATATACCTATTACATGCAACTACTTTTCCACAAATATATCCTTGAAGCAATTATAGATATAGTTAATTTTAAAATTAAATTGAATTTCATAATTAAGTACATGTGAATGTCCATCATCATCCACTTCAAGAAAAGTTTACTGCTACCATACACCATTAACGTCCGATTGTGATTATCACTATCATAACAACAATAATGTCATGTGTGAATGAACGTTTATTAAAAATTATTCGAAGTCCTATACTACTGAAATGATTTCTCAGTCTTATCATTGCGTATATGAAGACATGTCGGTTGAAATAATTTTTGATCTGTTAATTTAACTGTTCATTACCGAAATTGTGTTATCTTGATTATTTCATAACTTTGTTAGTTTTCCTAAGCGGAGTTCTATCGAACTAATCACTGTCATATAGATGATTCTTTATGCAAGTTAACTAATCTCTGTTCCAGAAGATTATTTAAATCACATTTACATCATGACTGAAATCCATTCAATGTAACCATTACTTTATACATGAAACAACATGATGGAAACGAATAACAGAATTCGTTATGTAAGGATTTGTTATTCTTATTCGGAGGCCATTTTTATTTATCCGTATAGTTTATATCATGTCTTTTGAAACGCCATTGTTTGTCTGTTTTTGTTTAGACAAGTTCACGGACTTAAAGAGTTTGAGAAATGCTTGCATGAGTGATAGATATTGCAAACCTAAAGCAAAGAATTGTCTTTTATCTGAACTTCAAGGTTCGACCTTCAGTAAATGTCCTTTACAAAGAACCTATATAAAATCAATAGATCGTATGTTCAGATAAACTTCTGGTCATCTCTTAGTCTATTATTTGAATTTGTAATGTACAGATAAATAAAGTCTTTATTTTATTAACTGTAATTTTTCGAAACAATAAATACGGATGATAAATTATAAACAATGGCTTCCCCAAATCTTAGTGAAATAAAGCTGAGTTAATAGTTAGTCATTTTTAGAATTTCAGCTTGATTTGCCTGATTAAGTATTATGTATTTGAAATAGAATAAATATGGCGAACTTGGAAACTTCGAATCTCGCAATGCAGGATCGTGAATGCGCACTGTTGAGTAGTCCCACAATCGGACGAAACAGCCGTCTAGTGCTTCCAGGTTTTCCATGGTGATCTATTGAAATTATTATATTTTAGTCAATCATTTTATAATTGGCTTAATTTACCATGTGCTTGCATATATAGTTAATATGATAAAGAATTTTGTTCAATTTATGAAATTATTTTACACGAACCTGTAGATATGAATTCTATAGTTGTAATTCGATGTCTTAATGAATTGTTCAACTAAACATCATTTGAAGAGTTGCTATACTTTATTCTTCATACTTGTCTCTAATAGGTATCATCTCTTATTCCACTTTTTGTGTCCGATCATTTTCGGATCTAAAAGTCTTCAACCATGAAATAAAAAACTTAGAGGAACAATGAGATTTTGTTTTAAGCATGGGTTAAAAATGTCAGGTTAGCGTCGATAACTTGTTTCAAATCTACATTTTTGTATTACACATGAGTATAAAATGAGACAACATTCGTTTATATTGCCTAATCCAAGGTTTAATGTAAGTGATAAAATTGGCCATTATCTCACAAGAATAGTAGTAGTAAAACTTGTAGTTCAGCCTATAAAACATGTCACTGGATACGTTAATATATATACCCTCTAAAGCTAGAAGAAAAACCCTGAGGATATAAGTTCAGTGATTTCGGGATCTATATGTTATGTTTTAGTTGCCCAAAATCTGACTCCAGTTAGATCGTTTCTGATTGTTATCGAAATATACATGTCGTCAATCCTCGCATATAATTACCAACTTAAATCGCGTTAGTGAATAACAGAATTTAATAAGTCAAATACGAGAATGGATTTTTGAATAGGTATATTTTGTACAGTCGTTGATCGGAAAGCGAAAGAAGACGAAATGACGTGCAATGCAGAAGGTGAGTGAGCCAACTCAATTTAGCTAAGTATTAACCGACATTTAGTCAGACAAAAATAAGTTACAGACATGTGATGAGTAAGACTTGAAATGCACACAAATACACTTACATAAAAACAGTCAAGTTTGATAAGTGAATAAGTGACAAGGTCAAAATGTAGCTTGAGAAAATAGATGAATTGGTTTGTCTAGAAGCTGAAATAAGCTATGTAGGCTTGACATAGGGCCAGCCACTACAAAGCCCCCCTGTAGAAAACAGCATATTAATTTGAAAACATCTGTTTTTGAAAACTTCACAGAAGTGGTATGTGGTCAGCTTTATCAAGTAGCAAAAAAATTGTAATATATCTGATAGAGTACAGTGTCATGTGAGGGGTGAGTGCATTGTACAAAAGTATCACACTTATGTAAAACAGTAAATGAATATCGTAAAGACGTGGACAAAAATGGAAATGCTAGGATGCGTTCATGAGTAGATCAGTAAGCGTACAAAAAATTAAAATGCATTTATGTCGTGACTGTCTAGACAAAGTAACGCATTCATATGAGCGATTCCATGTATCATGAAAACAAAGTAATAAATCGTTTATGGGTATGACAGCGGAATAAATCATAAAAATAAGGTAGAATATAACAGGAATTGGTCTGTGGTATCGACAGAATATAAAAATAAAGGATAGTTGAGTATGAGCTTGTTCTAATAAGCTAAAGTAATATAAATGGCGTCGATTAGCGATTAACGGTTTGGTATTTACGTTGGGTTTATGTGGGATAAATATAATCTAGCGGTAAGATGATAACTGTATTGGTGAGTGATATTCGTTGCTGTACTGCAATTGATGATAATCACAAAATGCAAAAATAGTGTAAGTCGTCGTTTGCGTCATAAACAGATGCATCGAGACATCGTTAAATACTTATATAGAATGACCAGAGGAACAGAATAGTGACTGAGAGGACGAGATATGCGGATTCGTATATCTGTTTGGTCGTTTAGCCTAGAATGGTTTATGTTGTTTGAAGAATATGCACTCGACCTCGTTCGTTGAAAAACCGTATCAAGGCATGATGTTTATCTATGATGGCGAGTTAGACTGACTTGGATGGGACGAACAAAAGTGTAACCTTGAGAGACTGGCTCTAAACTCTGTTCTGATATACACTGCGACTGGAATAGAATCTTAATTGCAGTAATCGAATAATGTTTATCAGTAACAGGTGATATAGCATGCAGTTATACACGTGAACTAATAAACAAGATGAACATAGCCGTTACTAATCGGCCAGTAGTGAGTTGCCGAATATTTTATGTGTGTATAGATGTTAAAGTGAAGATAGTCGATTTTTTTAAATATCTGAAGTTCGATTTAGATTGTCGTTGAAAAAGTAGGAAACGACGATTGCTGCGTACAAATGCGATGAATGAAAAATAGTTTCAAATTGAGAACATAAGTTCCTACTACCGGAAGTGACTTCAAACTTATGTCTATGATAAAGTTGCTAACCGTTGCCAGTGTCGAGGTAGTTGCGACCATGTCGTTATCAGAGTGCAGGAGGCTCACTTGGCTGCTTAAACTGAGGATTTGTGTGCATGCTCTAGACCGTCAATTTACCTAGTAGTTTGCAGGTTGTTCGGTGTTCGAGTAGCTAGTAAATACGTCGGGAACGTATGACATGTGATAGCCATATATCCACAAAAATGGATGATAATAATTAAGCCACTTGTGTGATAAATGATCCAGAACATACTAAAACTGATCGGTCTTAGCAAAAGTCTTATTAGAATCAGAGGCATCCGCAGACATAATAGGAGACGATATCAAAACGAAAAATGGATGGTGAGATAACGTAAAAATGACCTCAACTATGTGGATGAGTGTAAAATTCTTGCAAAAATGACACGAAAAAATGGAGCGAATTCATTTAAAGCAGGAAAATTTTACTTCATTGAATGATAAAAAATTGTCGAGTGAGTTTCAAATATCATAACGCGAATGGAATGTGCATAACATTATAATTTGTTCAGTGAGTGATATGATTACGTAAATGTCATGATTTAATGTCAGCACGAACAAAAATAACAATTCCGTGTTAGGTGATGATATGACATTAATGTGATAATGAGCATATGATATTTATTCGAATCGTAATGGAATAATCCGCCGAACGAATCAATGAGAAGAGTTGACACAAGGACAAAGTACCGATAAAATGATACAATTTGAGCATGTCCATGTCGCTGTCGTACCGGCTTCCATGAATGCGCCGGATTAGAGATCGAGTCGTTCGAGTTGCTCAGCGACTAAGTCAGCCACTTAGTCCGTTTATCAGACATATAGAGTTCGTGGTGTTCACCGTATGCTCAGATTTGCAGGGCGCGTTTAGTTTGAAATTGAGCTTACACTTTAACTAATGGTATGATGATATTATAGATGAGGTTGTCCGGAAGCTAGAATAACCTATGTGGTCTTGGTGTAATGATAGAAGTTACAATGTGACTACAAACTAAAACGTCCTATGTACTATAAATTCCACTTGATCCTCTGTGGTTTCTTTACACTTACTAGTCACATTCCTTTTGAAGGTTAACCATAGTGACTTTAAAAAATCCAAACATTATTTAAGAACAAAGAGTCTTACAGTCGAACGATCATCTCATTTGACAAACTTTTACCCCAAAAATTATGTTATAAATGAAAAAAGAACCACAAATTACGGTATTACGCGTACTAAATAATTGCTTGATAGTAATATAATTGGTTATGAATTTGAATAGCAGACATTACGTCACTTCCGTTTATAAGTCCTGCAAAAATTCATTGATATCAAAATTAGTCTAGAATTAATTTCTATCATTTAATAACCTGATTTATATTTGATATACCACTGTTTTATCCTTAAATAAACATTGTCAGCAATGAAAAATCTGATTTCATCAGATTAAGCGATGCTTACACTGTAGGGAATAATACTTTGACAAATTGTTTTCGGTAACAAGAATAAAATTATTCATGATCCCAACAGTTTATGTGAATTACATTTATTTCGTAAGTATATTCCAGTTATTATAACAATTATCTTATTTATGAAACAAAATATTCGACTAACTTTTTTGATAAAGACGGTTTTCATGAGATCGTTCGAAATTTACTCATGAATTTCTTCTTACTCAGGAAGGAATCATAGACTCTCGAGATCTGTAAACAATGAGAACTGTTTACATACAGAATCCAAATTGCAAATATCTGACAAGAAACAGTCTTGCATCGGAATTTAAAGGTCGAGTATTTAATAATTGTCCGATGGCTAGAACCTATATAAGCTCGATCAATTATATGTTTTGATCATACGCACTACATACCACATATTTCTAATTACTTCCTATTCTGTTATTAACATCTTCCTCACATGAATATCAGTAAAGTACTACTGACATTAATGATGACTTCCAATAGAACTAAAATAATGAGAAAAGTGCTTGATACAAGAGACAGCTTTCGTCACGTGTATGAAATAAATTAACTGTAGTATTGATAATAGCTTTCACAAACATTTACTTAGGTGAAGGGAATATTTTGGTTCACCATAATCCTACCAAAAAGTATATTTTATATCATACAAACAAATGACTTGAAAACTTAGATTTTAATGTATGAATTCACTGGGTAAAATCACAGTGGGTTTTATATAAAGTGTCAAACTGTTCCTCCCAAACATATTTTACTTTAGAATAGATTAGATTCCACAGAAACATATCCAAACCAATTTAAAACAACTACAATTAATTATATTTTCATAAGTAATTTATTTCTAAGTAGAGTATTAACAAAAAATACAGGATGATTTAGTAAAAAGACTTACGGTTACTAAAGCCATTCACTTTTGCAGCCATATATCAAAATACTATTCGTCAATTAAATGACGATCTAACAATATTCTACTTTGTTAATGATTACTTTAATTGAAACTGTTCACCAAGGCGTAATTACTCTAAAATCTTTCGATGAGGCATAATGTATGCTGTTATAATATTTAAAATAGATACATTAGTGTTAAAGTTAGTATAGGAATAGTTTGTTGACATCCAATTGAAGACCTCAACTAGCACTTTGTTGAGCATGATGGGAGGTTAGTTTAATAAGTATTTTTACTGATGCAAGAAACTTTTCAAATATATATATGTATATATATATATATATATATAATCTCAGGAAACTAATTTGGCATATGGTATTTCTATGTAGTGACATTCTTAACAATCAAGACAGGTATAAGATTAGTATCCTCGATACTAGCCAAAGTATTTTACACTAAAAACATTAAAGCTTCAAGTTCCCTAGTTTGCTGAAAACAGAAATGAATTTGTACGGTGATCACTATTTTCTATTCAAAGTTTCAAGATAAAAGTTTTGTCTTTACAACAAAT